CGGTTCCCCCCTCTCCCCCCGTTTTTCCCCCCCCCCCCCCCCCCCCCCCCCCCCGAGCATCCTTCGCACGGAATAAATGCAGGAGGAAGGGACGGGGTGGGGGAGGCGGTTAACAGCACATTAGATGTCTGCAGCATGAGACGCGGGAGGTATCCCGGGGTTCTGACAGCTGGATCTGAAACAAATCAGATCTGGATTAACTTGCCTGTTTTGTGAATTGTCTGCATTTGAGCAAGCAGCCCTCACCCACTCCACTTCTGGCAGGTTTTGTTACACGTGCCTCTATAAATATATTATCCCAACCCTCCTTCCTCGTTGGAGCTCTCTGTTCAACAAAACAGAAACCAGAACGAGGAGAAGCGATTTTCTTTTTTAAATGAAGACATTTATAAGTAACCCAATTTCGTATCGTGGAAGTAAATTTCATGCTAGGATATATTTTGCACAACATGTAATCTCTTAGAGCCGGAAGACATTTAATTAAAGCCATATTCGGAGAAGTACAGCTTCAAAGCAGTCATACGACCACATACCTCATTCATATTCAGGATCCGTCCGCGAATTCATATTGTTTTAATGTGGGACATCGCCTTTACGGCATAATTCTGCGAGGCCTGGGCAGCACGAGAGATAACACAATGGAGAGCAGGCAAGGAACAGCACGGGGTGCTTTACCAGGCGGAGAGGTGTCTGGTTAACCTAGAGACCACCGCTTTCTGCCTCCCAGCTCCCGACTTTCGATCGGAGCAGCTCCCAGCAACGCACATGCCGCAGCTGGGGGCTGGGGGGACAGGGAAAAGCCCACCGAGGATGAGCCGGGGTGAAGCATCCCGAGCTGGGTGCTCCCGCTTCGTTTCGGCACGCTGCTGCCCACTTCACCTCGCCCTGGGAAACACGTGCGTGGGGGCGAGGTTTGACCACGTCCTTTGCAATCCCCCGAGGAGAAGGTCGGGGGTCTCTTGGCAGTCCCATTTCCTAGCACTTGGGGCTGGTCTGGAAGCGGGCACGCAGACCCACACGCCCTGTGGCTAAAGGGGGATCTTTGGAGAAAGGGGACGGCGTCCCGCCGGCACCGTTCACGGCCGCCGGTGAACTTTTGGTCGCACCCATGCCGTTTGAACGGAAAACGCACCGTCCCTTCAAGTGTTTGCGCCGCCTCCTGCTCGGCTGCTCCACTATTCAAACGGCGATCTCGGGGACCCCCGAGGAAAGCGGGGTGCAGGGAGGGAATAGCCCAGCCCCGAGGTGAGAGCGGAGCTCCCGCCCGGCGCTCAGCTCGCCGTCCCGCCGCCTGCGGGGCTCGGCTGCCGCCTGCCCCGCTCCCTCCCGGCTCCTCCGGCCGGGCGCCCGCTCCTTCGTTGAAATAACTCGTAAAAACTGCTCTGAATTCGGTGCGAG